CACGTTCATATCATATAATGTATACATACTATAATTAAAGTACTACTATTTTACACCTTGTTAATACTTTTACATTACCTCCCCGCTGCAATTTTTGACTGTAGTTTGTTGGTATCGTTTAAAAACGGCTGGTTAACCTTCAAAGTAGTGGTCGTGCAACTTTTCGGTGGTACCGGAGTACGAAGCTCTAATCACGGTCGCATCCAGGCAAAGGGTAGAAACCCCTATTATACATTCTCGCATATATACGGTGATAAAATCTACGTATAAATCCAAATTTTGATTATGCAACACGACGACCACTAGGGTCTCAGTACCTGTAATATGTGCAATAACAATAAAGTTGAATCTAATCTTGAGCAGGAACAAATGTATTTACTTAGTACATATCTGACATTAACGATTAAACACATGTGTGCATTCTTTATAATGCAAACCGAGTCAAGCCGACTCCGGAGGTGGCGGTATGCACCTTAAAGTTGTTTGCAATCCGCCAAAAAACCGAGAGAAGAAGAAGGCGAAGAATTAGAAGAAGAAGAAGCCGACTCGGAGCTGTCCGACTTCAGGCGAGCTTTTTGAGACCTCCCCCGGCTGCGATCGGCTATTCTCGTCTACTTTCGAGGCGAGCCGCAACGCGTCTCAAACAAGCCTATTTACTTATAGTCAACTCCAATAAGATATGCAGGGTTCATACACTTTTTCACCAATGATTTTCCATGACCTTTACCTAATTTTCATGACCAAAAAAAGTTCTGTTTCTCAGCGGTACCACTGAAAATGGTTTATTTTATCATGGAACAGGAAAATAAGGTCTGCATGAAACATGATGTGCCTATCTAAAACAAATCAAGGCTTACTAGCTTCTACAGGCTAAAGCAACTAAAATCTCTCACCAGCAAAACACCTCGAAAGTTAAATGCCATTTTACGTTTCATTACTATACGATACAGTATTTATTATCATTATAGTATTACTATTTCGGCGATTAACTAAAATATATATTTTCCAAAACTTTGAGGAAAATATTGTTTTCCATAACTTTTCCAGGACCTGGAATTTGCATTTTGAATTTCCATGACTTTTCCAGGTTTTTAATGACCGTAAGAACCCTGGATATGTAATAACAAGGATTTTTAGAATGACCTATTTTTATCTATTTTGTACTGAATTGTACACTGATGGTAATTATTGCTGGAAACTATATGTGTATAAATATTGAAAACAATGTTGACATATGCAAATTCTCCCTTCCTGATCAGATTGACACTGTTGTGTAAGTTAGTGTATATAAAGCATTGTAATGGCCATAGTAAGTGTGTGTTGTGCAATATGCTGGTTGGTTATAATAGTATTTACCCCCATTGTAAGTGACAGCCACCAGCACCAGTTCCCCGAGTGGGACGTCCATCCTCTCTGCCACGGCCTGAAGCAGCTCCTGGGCCACCACCCCGCCGTGGGCCCTCATACTCAGGAACGAGTCCATGGTGATATACACGTGACACAGCACTGTAACAGAGAGAACATTTGAGAAATGCTATAAAACCTAAAAGCATACTGCATTCATCAAAGAGGAAGAATCATTTGTGTTGATTTGGACTTAGCATTACTAAATCAGGCTAATGGTCCTTTTTAAACGTAGTGTTGTTCACAGTATTTTTGCTACATATGGCCTCTTTGGTAACGCATTTCCTCTTGTGGTTACAGTTATGTATGAGCAATTTGTTTTACATTTAAGGCGTTTATAGATGTTGTGTTAGCTGAGATTCTGATTGTGTGACTGTAAAAGCTTTACAAGGCTAAACTCCTGGCTGGCAGTTCACTAAAAGAAACAGAAACATAATAGTTACACACAAAATCCATCACAGTTTCATTATATATTTAGGCATGAACTCAATCAGATGCTGCACATAATACTAAATGGCATCAGGTTTTCTAAATAATAACATTTTGAAACTAGATTATGACACAAAGACACAAGACTTCCTTATAATGCAGAAACATCTTAAAGATATTTTTTAAAAACAATTTATCAGGACACCTTCAGCCAGAAAGAAATTACAATTAATGAAGTCACCTTCTGCCGTCGGGAAGGAAAGGATCTAACAGGGCTGCCTCTTATTGATAAGGTGACCTTTAGCAAAGCACCGACTCCACTACTCCAGTGTAACCACTCAACTGGAGAGGGCTGGCATTACTAGGATGGACCAAGCATACTCAATAGATTTATCTTGATGAAGGAAAAGGGTCAGCGGGGACAATTTCTTTGGTCGAAAGCAGTTTAAATGAAAATGTATTCAAAGAGAGGTCTGGATTATCCAGAAGCCGAAACCTCTAAGAAAGAGAATTCATCAGCAGATAAAGTCAAACTGTCTGCATGGCTAGATTGTATTAAAAAGGGACTGTTTCTTTATTTTATTTGGGTGAACCTGGCCTTTAAAATAAGCAAAAAATCACTACAAAAGAAACTCACAAGTCATCAGTCAGGAATTTCATTTCAGAAACTTCTTGTCCCTTTCTTGGAAAGCGTCTATTGTTCTACTGTTCAGTCTAAATGTCTCGACAGATTTGGAATCAACGTATGCTGGGAAGAATGTGTGAAGAAACACCGTGTTTTACGACTTACCTTCCTTGTTCTCCCTCTGTGTTCCTCTGGACTGGAGCCTGTTCTCTTTTAGGCTCGATTGGTGGAAAAGTGCTTTGCTCTAAAAAGAAAGGAAATCCGTGGATTTTGACATGCAGTCATATTGCCTGGGAACATTGCGGGCATTTAGCTAGAACTATAAAACAATGTGTAAAGCAGGAAATGGAACGACAATAGCTCCAACACCCTATTGAGTATGAATGGTTGGCCTGCTTTCTTAAATACAATGATTTCTGTCTTAAATATGTCGTAAAGAGGTGTCATGAGATATTTTCACTCACCTTTCTTTGAGGGGAATAGTTATCCACCGTACTGGAAAAGAAAGACAAATAAATCAGTAAAATAACTATTTTTGTCCTGTTTTATAGAAGTACAACAACACCACTTCACCAGTCTTTAATCAAGGTCAAATGAATGTAGCTACACATATACTCATTTGCAGTGTTCAGTCCATTATTCAAGATGAGTTTCAACATGAGATTAGATTGCTTTGTAGATTGTAGACCTTCCCTTGTGACCCCTTCGTTTAATCACCTTACAGTATTGTCATCAGTCAGACCCGACTAGCAAGATGGATAGGCCCGTAGCCATTAGCATCCCTCTGCTTTCACTGGGCTCAGCATCACAATAGGCATGTTGGCACAAAGCCTGCCCTGAGGGATCCCCCCTCTCCGGCTAGCAGCAGGCCTGCACTAATGAAAAACCTGATTCCCACTGAATTGTCAAAACAGAGCTTGTGATCAAATTGACTCTTTTGCTACTCAAAAAAAAGTGAGCTCTGTGAAATATACCGTCACAGAACGAGAGAGAACAACCTAAGCTTTCAGAAATGTGTGATTTTAGCTTCACACAAAGGCCTGATAGAAGTTTCTGGCATCAAAGTGCTGAATGAATCTTCTTTCCATAAAGAAATACACCTTTTAGCTTTTTCGCTTGGCAGCAGATTGTCACAAAGCAGAGATCCTAGCCCCCCTCCCCCGGAGTGAGCCTGATTGTCAAAAGCTCATAAATAGTAGATTATGTCAGTTGCTAAAACCCTCACAAAGTCCCTTCTTTAAAGGAGTGGGTGTTGAGAATCCCCCTGCATATAAACATGAATAAAGTAGGCGCAGAGTCAGGGTGATTATCTGTGCTGTTCTAATGGGCGGCAGGTCGGAGCATCCCCCAGGGAGGAGATCTGATTGGAGGCTGTGGCTGAGGGAGGGGAAGGGGGACACGGGTGTGGCAATGTGTCTGCTGACAGGGGGTTGTTTACACTGAAACATGTCAAAGAGAAATGTGATGCCTATTGTTATTAAATTCTAATTAAAAAAACAGCTTCACTTTAACAAACGAAAAACAGAATCAATATTCAAGACTCAACTAAATAAGTTTGAGCTATGGCTATATTTAATATACAGCACATCAATAATACACACATACAATACTGAATGTAAAAGAAGCTGACTCCTTGTCCAATGCAATGGTCAATCTACAACTTGTATAGTGCATCATTGTGCGTACTGTATATGTGTGTGTAAGCAAATAAAAACATATAAGTAAGCTTGAGTCCATGTGCGCATGTACACATGCATGTTTAAGATTCACTGACATACAGTAAGTGTGTGGCTTTGTTGTACTGAGGGAAGGGTCGATGTAATAAGCTACAGTAGGGCTTCAGCTTACACGTTTGTGGTGATTGCTATTATCTCTTTGACACAGATTGATTATTTTGTGGTTGTGTAAACGCTTGAGTACAATTGTATGTACTGGTTAAATACATGTAACAAGGAAAAGTCAAGTGTTAATAAATCCGAGGGATCAATGACACAATTGGTGTCAAAATGTGTCATGATAGCAAGCAAAACCTATACTCAGTGTATTTGCAGATACTGAGCCTTTCTTTTATCCGAGATACCTTTTTTTTCAGTATTGAAAATATGTATACTGTGCCGCAGGGAAGTTATTGTAATCCTTTTTATACAAGGAGACATGAGGCCAGGGTTTGCCAGCTGTCAGAACAAAAATAAATCTAAGTGTGGACGTTAATGATGAGGATGTTTTAAGTTATGTTCGCATTTGATCAGTGCAGTAGGTATTTTACATGTATGTGAATTTGGGGTTGTATAGCTACAATTGTGTCCAGTTAATGAGTAGTTGAACATCCTTCTTTTCATGGCAAGTGACACATTTCAAGGAGCATGTCATTCATTCTCAAAATGTCTGTATTTCCTCAATTTGAGAGATTAATGACAAAAAGCCCTGTGACCTTCATATTTCTGTGCATAACAACCCAGAACATTGAAATTAGTCTCAAGCCTCTGAATGCATTCATTGATGAGAGGCTAAATAAAGGCACCAAGCAGAGAAGCAGCTCTTTCTTTGCACTCAGAGACCAGCGAGTGTCTCTGCTTCTTTTCAGACCTTCAACAGTCATAACCACAGTTTTAACACACCCAGACCAGATATCAATACATGTATCATTTTTTCCATTTTATAGATTATTTACACAAAGTGATTTTGCCCCAACACTACAGGAGACACTACCTTTAGATATCTGGAAAGCTTTCTTCACTTTAGCTTTTAAATAGCTATAACTTTTCTGATACTTTTCTGGACTGTGACTTTGGGTTGTGCCTGACACAGATCAGACACACAGTGAGGTTGCAGCATAGGGAATACATTGAGATGCAAAATGCTTAATTCGATGTTATCACAAGCGATGGTGAGTCTGTGTCGGTTGGGAAAAGTAGGTTCTGTTGTGTTTATTTATAGCCTTAGAGACCAAAGGGTAGAGAGCACACTTGAGGCGAAAATGCCGCAAAATACTTTCTGAGATTTCGTCTTGAAAATGTAAATCTCTGCCATTGATGTAACAAAGAAAAGATAAGAACACAGTAGAAGAGAATGGAGCTCTTTTGATGGTGCTGGAAGGTTTATTGATGTATAGGTGCATGATTCACACATCAGTACTGCATTAGACTTTTGATATGCGCTCTATGTATTCTATTTCATCTTTTTAATATATGTTGTTGTTATATTATCAAGTGGGTCTTAGTTTCCATCTCCTTTGCATTGATTATATTATGTCATTCTACCCTTGTTGTTTTGTTCATTCTGTCTAATTTACCCCATTTAAAAGCAATTTTGTCTGCGATTCTTTTATCAAAGGTGCTTCTGTACAGTATGCGATGGTCTTTGCTTAGTATGTATGGAATCACCCCGTGTCTCATGACCTAAAATATGAAAGAAGGTTATCATAAGGTCACTCACTGTGTGCGGTGCAGCTGGTACAGTTTCTGCAGTTCCCTCACATCCTTCTCCAGGGATGGGTGCTCATAGAGATCATCCAACACGTAACGATACAAAGTCTGGAAGGAAATGTCAATTTTCATTTCTCCAATATCAACACACCCAGTTTCCATCCTTTTCCTTTCTGAACATTATATTTCCTACCTTCATGAACAGCTTGACATGCTCGTCGTCCCTCAGGAAGTCTCTGCAGAGGGCCATCCACTGCGACACCAGGTGAAGGACTTTCTGTTTCCTCTCCACAGCCTCCTTCCTGTCCTCCTTCCCTCTGTGGCGCTTGGTGCAATAGGTGGGATTCAGTTAAGGCTTCAGCACAGATGGAGAGCGAGATCTATTTGCTGGTCAAATGCAGCATACAGTGAAGCATGTGTGTGTTTGTATAAGGACAGGTGGCGGAGTGTGAACACAGCTGAGTGTAGTGGAGTAGCTTTGACTCAATAAAGCAGTCGTGTTTTTGTATAAAGCACCTACGTCTGCCTTTAGCATTCACAAAAGAAGGTTATTATGTGTCGATATTTGTAATAATGTTTCTGTAATGCCCGTGTTTTTAAGGATATTGTCCCAGCAGAGCTTGACATAAATCACTGGTTGACATGAACACTGGGTAGGTCAGCAGAAAATCATCCAGTAGCGTATCTGTAAGGACAAACACGTTATTGACAATTGACAACAAATTCCAGGTTCGTGAACATTTTGGAAAGAAATATACGATTATATGTGATATCAAATATATGACTTGTATGGTAATTGGGATATGATTCACAATATCGAAGGGAATGATCATTTTTGCATCAATATTCATGTTTTTAGTAAAAAAAAATTTTTGTCGCAGATACATATATGCAGCGCCACAATATTTCATTCCATTAATTATTCAGCCTTATTTTCTAATAATATAACTTGATTTATAGATATATATTGAATAAATCCAGCACACACACAGCCTCTTTAGGTTTGTGAAAGGATGCTGGTGGGCAAATACACCAGTGACCTTGACAACTGTATGATTAATGTTCGCACATACAGTATGTCTGTACTTTAATTGGGCTGAGTGACTTTGCACCAGTTCTTCACTCCACTAATACTAGAAGTAGAGCTCCCTTTTTGCAGTCAAGTACCAGTTAATAAGCACTAAGGAGAGCCATTTCAGAGGCGAGGATAATGTGAGAGACTGGCACATTATTCTACGTGGTCAGTCTTAAATAATTGCATGTGCTGAAACCACTAAGGATTCCTCTGTTCTATTTTTGGGCCAACAAGTTCAAACAAGCCTTACTGGCCTTATCTTCAATCTCACACATTCGTCATTGCAAGCTGTATCAGAAAAGATAAGCCAATAACGTGCCAGTTGACTCTCTTCGACCTCTAATGAAGTGTACAGTATGTTTTCTTTCTGGCTATCTTGCAACCAGAAAAAAAAGCATCCGATATTGCTTGACCATTATCCTAATGTGTTTACAAGCAACCACTGTATCCTTATGAGCTTCTTCCCAAGGTTACACATGGGAAAGTGTTTCTGTAAAAGGATTACATCAAAGCAGGCCAAGTAGACCACCAACTCCCCTCAAATAACATGAAATGCATTCATAGTTTACATCATCAAAACACTTAATTTGTTTAACCTTGATAAACAAAGACAGAATCCCAGAATCTCTTAATAAAATGAAATAATTTGGCATTATAAGAAGCTGTAAAAATGAATTTCATAAATTGCAAAAACACTCGAGGTCAAGGCGTGAATTCAAAGACTAAGTCCAAGACATGATGCCGACCACAAGCAAAAAAGCTTTGCAAATCCTATTAAGACCAACGTCCTCTCAACCCTTGTGTAAGTGTGCCTCATATCCAGAATTGTATATTCTCCCCTTTAATTTCACACTGGCTTCCCAGGGCCTTTGTGTACGTTCTGGTCCACAGGACTCGCTGACATCATTATGCTAATCCGCGCAGAGCAGCTGTGGATGCTTCACTCAATGCTTATGAGAGGTTACACACTCATACATATGTAGCTCCCATAAAGAATACAGTAACCCACCTTAACACAAAAGCCAGAAAAACAACATGCAAAAGATCAGCCATCCAACCACACACACACACACACACACACACACACACACACACACACACACACACACACACACACACACACACACACACACACACACACACACACACACACACACACACACACACACACACACACACACACACACACAGACACACGACGACGACGACTACGTAGTAGTGTTTCAAAAGTGCTGATTCTCTGTCTGTTATATTCAGATGAAAATAAGGAGCCACGCCCCTCTGAGAGATATTTGGTTAAAAAGAACACACTGGTGCTCTAGGAGGAGATTCAGGTGATAAGGTTGGGGGTGTTACCTTGGTTGGTGATTGGCTAATGGTTACACAAGCCAAAAAATCGTTATGACATCACTAAGTGGCCAAAATTTGATCAGCTCATTTTCAGACAGGTTTTTATATAAATGGATCAGGACAAAAAGAGAGAATCTTTTTTCCTGAAACTTCCAGAATGTCTTTACACAGAGGGGACGCATGTTTGTGTATAAGAGACATGAAAAAGTGGATTTTGCATAATAGGTCCCTTTAAATATGAATTACATTGAATTTATTTGGCGCAGTTTGCAGATCTTTTATCTAAATTCAGCTTTTAAACAAGTACATTTGACAGCGGCTCAGCTAAAGATTGCATATCTTAGTATAACAAAAAACTGATTTGTGCTTGAACGCAAACACCGGATACCTATTACACAAAGACACAATTATTGTATGA